TACACAGGAAGAGTAACACCCACGCAAATTGTTAACGTCAATTTTTTTTAAAGAAACATGAGTTCTAGAGTTTCTAAACGCAGTGTATAAGAAGGGTCATAATTTATCCTGACAAAATGGCATGACTTTAAAATCATTATAATATTATGTCCCTTTTCCACAAAAAGATCCAATTTCCAGCAGAGATTTAAAAAAGATAAATTACTGCAATTTTCTTATGCATTTTATTTACTTCTCTGATGACTGATTTGATAAGGTGTGAAGATTGATGCTTGTATTATCAAAGATTATGGCCTGATGCACATACTCTCCACAAATTTGGTGATAATGAAATTCATAACTTGAATATTAATAAATTATATATATTTTAACACCTGGAAAACTGTTCTTTCAATATGGCAACCTCAGTAAGGACTACATGAAACAACTAGGTTCTCTATGACCAGGTCTCACTGTACGTTGGTTAGACCATCACCGTAGTACATACATCCTTGACACCTCGATGTACAGGGCACATAATAATGTTTACCCTGAAGACTTTTATGTTTACATCTATAATTTGTACCTAGATTTTATGTCTTTTTACCATTAAAATCGCAGTTGATAAAAATCTTGTTACAAAGTAAATGCCGCACTATTATTTGGACATCAATTTTTACGATGATTACTTTGTAACATTTTAGTGTCTCCATTATCAAATTTGGGTTCTAAATTTATCCAACCGAATTTTATATGTTTATTAGTAATGAATGATCACTTTGATATTCTATCATTATAAACAAGTTTTTACCTACAGTCATGTTGGTACAGTAAATGCACCTTTACATTATCTTTGATTAAAGTATATAAAGTTATTATAATCAATGTTGTCAACTTTCAACTTTTATTTACAAGACAAATACAATAGCAAAAACAACTGTGACAGTGCCCCCTTCTGTTTGGAAGGTTTAAAGGGGGGCAGTAGTCCCCCTCATCGCCAAGAAAATTTTGGACATGTGACAGGCTAAAAATGTCCTCAGGTCGATCTTAGGGTAACTAGTAACCGACGCTGAAAAGCCTTTTACTCTATCTTAATTCAATGAGAAGTTGCAGCAATTTGAAATCAGTTTTGATGGAAAAAAACAATGCAAAATAGTGATTTTTTGCAATCTTGAGACATCCCCCGATGCCATGGTAACAGAAATTTATGATTGAGCATGCTGTCACAGAGGCTATGGTCCAGTCAACATATGTGCCAAGTTTCATCAGTATTGAAGCATTTTTCATAGTTTTATAGAAGTTTGAACTTGTTACAGATCGAGGCGGCCATTTTTACAATATGCTCATGGGGTAAAAGGTTAATTGTGTCAATGAAGTTTTGCATAGCTTTAAGTTTAAATTTAAAATTAAAGGTTGCAATGTTGTGAGTTACATTCAGCCACTATGCAAGAAATAATATTTACCAATTTGGTGTCACTAGTTAATATATAGTATATCCCTGATGTTTATTATTGTTGGGGTTGTGGGGGTGGTTGGGTTGGGTGGGGCAGAATTGCATCCTTCACAGTACTGAAACATTCCTGACATTAATTAGGCAGTGAGTCTAGACAAACTTTTTATTAAGAGTTTAACATATCAGTATTTCTCTTTGAAATACTATAGTGTTGTTAGACTATACTATAAAATATGCAGTAGTATTTACATGTGTGAACTTAATAACATACAATTATTTTGTAATCACTTCTGCAAAGAAACTTACTTATATGGGAATCGAAGATCTTTGTTATTGTTCTATACAGAGCTTAATCTATTCTACACAAATCTATTGTACAGTCTCACTTTAGAAAAAGAAAAAACAGAAACTGTTATAAAGAGGTGATTGCTCTACAGAGGCTAGCTGTTTTGTAGTCTCAATATTTCGACTGCAAGACCGACCGATTTTATAATCTGATTTTTTCATAGATGTCTGTCTTTACAAAGGGAGTCTTTGCGAAGGGCGACCATCATCTATATAATAAAAGGCCCTAAAACGCACAATTTGTTAGGCTAGCTGTTTTGTAAAGAGCTAATTAGCTGATTTATAAAATTGTAATATTCTACATATAATTCTTTCATTAAACATCTCAATTGATATGTATTGATGAAAAAAATAAAGTAATATATAATTATGCAAAATAGTACCCTAATGGTCTACAAAACAACTTTTTACTAACATGCTGAAAAATAAAATAGATACATTTCAGCAAATTTTTGGCATACATAATCTTTAGTCAAAATATATTAACATGCCAAAGCTTGATTCTGAAATATTTTCGTTCTGGGGCAGAATCTCGCTTTAGAGGCAAGATATTGCCCGGACAGGAAAATAGCACAATATCTCGTCGCGCAGTACAATTAGTTGGACTAACATAATCTTTAATAAAAAGACATTTAATGAAATTGGTGAAGGTCACCTTACACAGTTTTTAAAAAGATTTCATCTTGGAATTATATAAAATATTTACACATACCTAATATGTACCTATATATATTAATATCCAATCCCTCTTTGATAAAATGACAGATCAAAATCCACAATTTTTTATTTTATTTTACAGACAGATAGCAACAATACATATACAACAAAAATACTTTGTCTTAGGGAGTTTTACAGTCAACAGTAAAACAACTTGTGTAACATTGCCTTTAAAAGACTTTCTTAAGTGTTACACTTGAAGAAACTTAAGCATTTGCCACTGCAACAGCAAAACTAAATTGCCTTTAAGGCTTCATGTGCAGAAGCAGACGACATTGTGATCAGAGGCGACCTCTACGATCATATTTCAGGATGTCATATCTTTCACATTGTTTCAATATATTCAAGAGCCACTTTACTTCTGCTCTCAACTTTTGGGTGATATTGAAAAAATAAAATATGACACTGAACAGGTGAACTGATAAAAAGGCCATCTTATTGCTTAAACAGAGATAAACTCATGTAAGCTGACATCTTAAATTTTTATCTTGATATCCCAAAACAGTTCCCGAACATGGAAACTTGACAAGTTCATTGATGGCATTGATGGAGGTGATGATGATGATTAAGATGATTATGATGATGAAGATAATGATAATGGTGATGATGTTGATGAAGAAGAAGATGTTGATGATGATGATGAAGAAGAAGAAGAAGGTAATGATGATGATGAAAAAGATAATGATAATAGTGAAGAACATAATGATAATAGTGATGATGATGATAATGAAGAAGGAGATAATGATGAAGGAGATAATGATAATGATGAAGAAGAAGATAATGGTGATGATGATGATGATGATGATGATGAAGACGACGACGATAATGATGATGATGATTCAGTAAAAAAAAGGATGAGAAATGATGATAAGAATCACAAATAAAGATGAATTTGATGAAATTAAAGAATATTATTTTATTGATGATATTAAAATTGTTAACTTTAAATGGAGGTATCAGCACCTAATACTACATGCCATAATTATAATAAATACATTATATTTTCACATATTCATCATCATTGGCAAATAATTTCAATGATCTACTTTGGTAAATATGACGTCAATAAATAACACAACAATAAATGAAATTTCTAAACCTTAGACAAAAAAAACATGATCATTAATTGTATCTTTCTCTAGAGAAAAGTGTTTGCTTAATGCATTTCTGAAGAACACCGGTGATTAGCCTACTACTTAATACAGGCTTAAAGATCTTCTAAACACTCTTCAATTTTGGAGTACATTTAAGTGGACTGTGACATCAGATATGCATAATCATTGAATCTTCTTCAATGAAGTCTTAAAACGTGCTAACACTGCTTCTAGGGTGTATAATTATAAGCACACCAGAAAATCCTAGGAACTATGCCATGCTTTCTAAATGAAGGTCAATAACTATTTTATTATTATTTTATTAAGAAAACTCTAGCTGCTTTTTCACAATTATCAATGTTGATATAAATTTCTAACTAACATCTTTAGTGGTGAACATACGAATTATCAAGTAATTAGTGTTAATACTAGAATAAATAGTTATTTTACAAATGAAGGAAAATTTATTGTAAAATTCTATGAACATTTAAACCTTATTTAACATACAACACAAGTAACATTCAGGAAATCTTAGTAATGCAAGACCCTACAAATATTGGTTTAAACATATTATTTTATTTACTCTCGATTGCAAAACAAATTTTTGCAACTTATATGAATCACTTTACAAGTCCACTTCCTGGAACTTACCAGTACTGGTGTCATATGGAAGAAACTAAGTATTGGTCGTGACCCGATTAGGGCTCAAACCCATGATCCCTTGGTTGAGACTGAGACACCTAAACCACTAGGCAACCGCTCCCCTTACATAATGTAACTAAGAATAAATTCATTTTGTATTTGAGGTACTTGACATCTATATGACATTGCAATATTATGACATTATGACATTCCCACAATGTCAAAAACAACACCTGATTAAAGTTATTTTATATAACTGATAAAATGAGTGATACTCATGACAAACAAATTACACATAGCACCTCAGTTCAAATATAAAGAATGATTCTCTAGCAGGCAGACTGTCAAACATATTTATTTTATCTTTGATAAATTTGTGACAAAAATGTGTCCCAGGAATGTAAGTTTAAAGACCTTGTGATTCAAATCAATTAATCAACTGATACTCAGGTATGACTAAATCATTTTTTAAAACCACAGCAACATTTTGTTTAGATATCTCAGTTATTACATAATACTGTCAAACCTTGGTTTCAAGACTTTTCGTTGCTTTACTCGAATTAAAAGTAAACTGCTGAATTTCTCAGCTATCTATAAGTTAGACAGCCAAATTAGTATAGATCCTGAAGTAAAGGCTGACATGGCTATATACTAAGGGCACAAAGGCTGACAGTTATAATGTTCCGGAGTGTGTTTCTTTTAATGGGGATATTTACTTTAATGACAATGCAATCATCACTTAAAAGTGTATTTATTTAAAAATAACTCACCTCTATTTTGTTGACGTAGTTGTCTCAAAGCAAGACGTATTTTCTTTTTCTCATCATAATCTTGAGTCTCTCCCAACTGAAATATACAAAAATCATAACCTTAAGTGACAACCCCTACAGATGATGAAAGCATGGACTTAAATTGTCAATTAAAGTCTTCGATAAGAGTAAACATTTATAATTTCAAGCTAAATTCTAAGTTCAGAGATGAAGTAACTCTTAACAAATACAGATGCTTGAATTATGAACCCTGTCAAACATGATTTGGTGAAGTTTGATGAAAATCCCTAAAGGAATAAGTTATGGTAAGGAATAAGTTATGGTAAAAAATTAAAACATACTTAGTAAAAACTAAAATAGAACTTTTTTCAAGAAAAATTACCTAAGTTTAAAGGGGAGATAATTTTAGTAATGTAGGTGATGACAGTCAACTAAATACAGTCAACTAATATGTGAAGTTTAAAGTAAATCTTTAAATAAGTTCAAGGAAAATTGTTAATTTAAATCATGTCACTAAATTTAATTACAACAGACTTTATATGTATTTTACAGATTATTTTTAAACAATTTCTTATAATTTAATAACAAAGAAAAAAAGTGTTTAGATCCGATGATACCAATATACATGAGAATTGGGACCCCATAAGATTGCTATCAATGGATGGTACAAGACATTATGTTGTATGTCTTTTGTAGACAAATCTTACAGTACTTTGATTGAACTCAACTTCTACTTTTTTTTTATCCTAAGAATAATTTTATTTTTCCCGCTTTTATTGTACAAGAATGTAGAGACAATAAATTCAACTTGCAAGTGCAAGTCATTCTGTTTCATTTCAAATACAATTTCTGATTTATTTCATAATATTTGCCTACATGGCCTACTTTTTACACTGTTATCAAAATTGGCGTACATAAAAAATTTAGTAAATTTACATAACAGTACATCTATTTCACCATTTGGTATCATAATATTGGTTGATTTAACAACAATGACACTGCCATGTCAATATGAAAACAATGTTTTTAATAGTGATTATCAGTATTATAAACACTTTTATATTACGCTACGATATTTTGAAGTCTTACGTATTCATTACCGTTCATATTTGCTGTTCTTATACAATATTACACGTAATGTCACACTCAAACTGTTAAAAAATCCTTACTGCGTAAACCTTAAACAAATATTAGCAGAACCATGGTAGGAATTTTATTTCAAAAACCCTTTAAGGGATATATTTGAACAAAAGTCGTTTGTTAGATCTATGATAACAGTTTCAAGTGAGGCGACTAACAAGCTTATGATTTGTGAAAAGTTAATAGATTCAATTTAATGAAGTAAGCAAATTTTTGTCCTTTTTTTTTCATTTCAAATTTCAATATTTTATAAAATTTTTCAATTTAATTTAATGCATTGACACAAACATAAATAATAGAATTTTTTGGTAAATAAAATTTGATTTTTTAAAACTTTTTCATTTAATTCAAATAAATTTAATTTTTAATCTTTCTTGATCAAACTTGATCTTCTGAAGCCTAAGGGAAAGAATTCTTTTCAATATGAATAATATCAGGAGTTAGCTCCCTTTAAGAAAGAGGGGGATACATGAATTCTGATGACAGAATTGATTTTCAAGGGTCTTTCATTTAAATTTTTATAAAAAGATGGCCATAGAACAATTTGGATCATTAACAACTTTGCACACTGATAAACTTGCCAAATTAAAGGTTCAAACTTCAAAATTTAGTTTACAAATTTAGCGTGCCCCCCAACTGAGTTAAGCAAACAATCTTCATTAATGAATATTGTTACACATTATCAATTTTGTAAACATTTATATATGCATAGTCATACTAAATGTAACACTTGCTTAAACATGCCTACTTGAACATGTCAAATATTTTATCCTAAAAAAGATTTCTAACATCTCAAAAGGTTAATAGCTTTTGTAATTTATATTCTAAACATTTTCTGTATACTTTGCTAAAATGTGATTTATGCTGGTCATTATTTACCTCTTTTGGTAACAGGTCCATATTTTTATAATGACCACACTGTTAAATCCACTAAACAAATAATCGAAGGGTCAGTTCACATAGTTTATGGCCATTTAACATTTATTTATACATACATAATAAAGAGTTGCTTGCAAGATATTTCTGAAGTGCCTCTTGAAGAGATTTTGATCAATTTTCAACTTTTCAAGTGTATTAAAAAAAAAAAAATTGTGTTAGGTTTTAAATCACACCAACACTGTCAATGTCATATGGCAATTTTCCTGCTTTCTATGGTGGCTGATTTGGAACGCTTTTATGCATCGTGTTGGGGCTAGCGACAACACGACAAAGCGCCAAATGGCGCGTTGTTGACCTTTTGTCTTGTCCTGTTGCTAATGATGCATGCCAAATGGTGTGTTGTCTTGTGGCGTGTTGTCGCAATAACACATTGTCGATCAGGTCAAATTGAAGGATTGGCTTATAAGCCAAGCAGCAGGGTGACATCGCGCCCAATAACAATGCGCCATTTGGCGTGCTTCGCTTGAGACAGAACGACATGACGACAGTACAATAATGCGCCGTTTGGCGCTTTGTCGGGTTGTTGCTAGCGACAAGACGAAAAGGCGATAATGATATAGGTTGTGATGTCGCTATCGACAACTTGGCAACAGAGGTGTTGTATAAAATTAAAACAGGTTGAGGTTATTTTGTTTTTTCAATTAATATATGCTTAAATAAACAATGAAATAAATTCTTGGCATTGTTCAATGACTGATAATCACAGTACTGGTTACAGTACAGTGCACTGGATGTTTAAGATGTGAGTGTTTGCATGTTTTGTTTGGTTTTACAGCGCATCAACACAATTTAAGTCATATGGCGCCAAAACAGGAATGATGATTTCGGCTAACCCTGGGTGTTACATGGGTGCAACACCAGGAATCAAAATCACTTCACATGCTACCATGTACACCAAAATTAGGTGCATAAGTGCTATCCTTGCATAAAAGTATAATATTATGTCTTAATCTGTATTTTTGCATTATTGCTATAACTGTTAAAACATGAGGTAAGAAAAAAAAATTGTGTACAAGTAGTTATGAAATGACATTCAGTAAAATATCCATAAAATTATAAACTGTTATTTATTATGTAAATTGAATATAATTAATTTCAATAGAACACAATGACTCTTATCAATAATGAGTAATAAATTATTGTCAAAATTTCCTATCTATCAATCATGACTTTTAAATGTTTCAAGGTAACATCTGTAATGATATATCAATTTGTTACTAGTACATTTAAAGACTCATCAAGATCTAATACAACTTCCCTATATGAATGCAATATTCTTTTCTCTTGAGTGTAATGTTTTAAATACATGTACTATTTACAATAAGAGCTGTCAGCAGAACAACGTGCTCGACTTCTCTCAGTGCTTGAGTGTAAGAGCCCGGATAATCTAGAAATTTCTAAGTTCAAAAAGGGCCACAATTCTGTCAAAATTCATGTAAAAGCTATTGGCCTTAGAAAAATATCTCCTGTTATGCTCTGAAACAAGTGTGTGAAGTTTCAACTCCTTTCAGTAGTTTTTGAGAAAACAACTTGCACTCAAAAACATAACTAAAGTGTGACCCAGATGCCAATGAGGACGCCAATCCCAGGATGAGTACAATAGCTCTCCCTGTTCTTCAAAATAATCAAGCTAGAAACACCTGGACATTTATTTTTTAGTCATGGCAGGTCTTTAATGAAATTATGGAAAATGAAAACCTATTACAGTTAAAATTGTAGAATATGGATATGTCATAGTGTCAGAGTGTACTTATTTAAGTTTAATTATTTAACAAATGACAAGAATTAATGATTATCCGAGAATAAAGAGTTTTGTCGATGACCCCCAAGTATTGGTGACGGTTATGTCGGATTTACCTCTTCCATTTATCTTTATAATTGGGTAATTTTCTATAGATCGTATCCCGGTCAGATAGGATATAGATATCAAATAGGGGATATTACCAATTTTTCATTACCTGACTGGTGATAAGTTTTATGGATCTCGTCTGATATTGAAAATTGACCTGTTCACCTTAGTGTTAAAGCTATTCTATCTAGGACTGTCTCAGCATTACAGAAGGGTTCAGGGCACAAAATATCAGGGCCAGAAGCTACTAAATTAATCAAAAAAAACTTGGGACCGGTAACCAGGTTATTTTATATTATATTGCCATATGAGCCGTGCCAGGACAAAACCAACATAGTTTCTCTCACTTTTAATAGGGTTGGTTAGCGAACAGCATGGATCCTGGTCTGGATCCATGCTGGTCGCAAATGCACAATGTTGGTTTTGTCCTGGCATGGCTCAATTATATATGTATAAAAAAACAGGAGATGTATTAAGAGCTCAATCTGAGAAAATCTTAACTACTATTCTTTGATTACCATATCTCCAATCAATTAAGGTAAATGCTGGCATTGTGAACCTTAAATCTCAAAATTCCATTTTTGTTACATTTTATTTACTATATGTTGAAATTGGCCTATCTAGCAAATGTAATTTACAATTTGCTCCAATGCAGAGCTAAGACTGAGTCATTCAGACAGTCTGAGGAAACTGAAATTGTGGACCAATCCACAATTGGTCAATTTAAAAAGAATTGCTTCAATTCAATCAGACTGACAATCAAAGCTACAATATAAAGGTGGAAACTTACCTGTTATATCCCAATATATCTCAAGTAAAACTTTTTTTACTAATGAAGAATAAACAAAAATAGTTGTACTTACCTTAGTTGAAGGATCCAGAAGAAACTTATCCGGTAATGGTTTCAATATTTCCAAACTTAGTCTCCGTTGAAAATACATGATTTATCAATCTTTCTGTATTTTTCTTTTTGTTTATAACTATATCCAGATTAATTCACTCATACAATTCTGTCACAATTCTTGCAATGTTCAGTTCAATTTCATTTTTTCAACATTGTCCATAACTCAATATTGTTATTTTAAAAGCTTCCCAAATTTCCATATTTTTCACCATTGTTACTACACATTGTCACAATTTTTGCTATA